CGGTAAGAATACTTCCTTCCGTTACCACCAGCTTCCCAGACAACCGAGCATTCTCAGCTGTCTGTTTGCTAAACTCACACAAATGAATAACTCGGGCCCACGGCTGACTAGTCTTTCTCATATAAACATATCGACTATGTAAAAATTTCAGATACACTTAAAAGTTCATTCAGTCAACACAGTAATTTTAGTTACCAGCTCTATATTACAGAAACGTTGCATATCGAATTCTACATGGTCATGGGGAGTTGGCTTGAATGTAATGTCGGAACGCTTCGTACGAATTCACAGTTAAACAACCTGACGAATTCATTTTATGATAGCTGAAATCTCTTAAAACATTTTAGCCCTCTTCATGAGAATAAATATTATTTGTGAGCTAGATTTGCCGTTGTATGTTTTAGTGATTCCATTTTGGGGCTCTGTCTTCAACTTGCTACTGAAAAAGATTTTCACTTAAATTTTCGCGCTTCATTGAGAACATCTACTGTGAGTAGTGCCAGTCCAATTTACATTCGCTGCCATGGTGGAGTCAATAGCTTGGGTGCCCGAAGTAGTTGACATTATATTCCGTTTTGGCATCTACAATACATAGAAACGCATGGACTACAGGATTTGGGACTCAGCACACAACTTATGGATCAAGTATGCTGCCACTTGCAGCCCTCTGTATGTGGAAATTTCTCGTTCAGCATTGATAAACAGACGATCCAATGATTAAAAGCTACTGCTTGGCTGAACCATTAGTTGTCCCGAAAGTTACTACTGCGGTGAAACTAAGACTCTTCGAATAAGCATACCAACCCAGGTGAGTTTCCCGCTTCTTGCTGTGCCAAACAAGTTTCGCTGCGCACTATAGTCTAATTTACAAATGGATTTGCTTCGGTTTAAGGTTTCAGTTGTATTTCATTCTTAATTGCATGAAATTACCCTGTCCAAAGTGCAAAATACCTTTTTCAAGCAAGTACATCTGTGTGGTTTCAGCTTTTCGTCAGTGCAGTCAGGGTCATTCTGTGGAATTTATTGATTGTTTTCGATGCTATTTTACATGTACCACATGCGGTAAAATTGTCACCAGCTATGTTTTCATCCCCTTAAAAAGGAGCGAAGTTAACAGACGTCATTTTGGATTCAAATTTATGTAGCACGTTCGGTGTTTTGGTGACCTGGTTTTTCGCCGTCTAGTTCATGTTTTTTGAGGACTAGTTGCCTATATCTTAGGACAAACATTCAACCCAGATAGCTGTGGTATTCGTAGAAGAATTCTGTTTTACTTCTTAGGTGAAAAAGAACTACTTTTTAAAATCACAGAAATAAGGGGTTTACGCGAGTTTACAACATGCGTTGATGCATTCATCAATTGTCAAATTCATACGAAATTTTTCACACAACACCGGCTGTGGCCAACAATTCCGACCCCAGTCTTCCTCGAAGTGAGTGTTGACAGGTTTCTAAAGTCTGACAAGCGTTAGTTAAACTGTCAAGTCCCGTCGACTTTCTTTTAGAAAGAAAATTATCCACTCTACACAGGAGATTTCACCATTTGCTTGCTTGTGAGTTGAATTCCGCGGTACAAGTTTGGGTTTTTCGGGGCACTGGAATCACCCACAAAATTGCAGTTTACTTACATACATTTTCTGTTTTGAGAGGCGGGTTTTCTTACGTTGTTTACCTGGTTACTTATTATGGATATGTGGACACATCTCACTGAGTAGTCGATGTAGAAATTTGATATGGTTGATGTTTGTCATACCGAATGTGGTTGAATGTCACTTACATTTGGAATTATCAAAGTAAATGTGGACCACAGTTATCAGTCGGAGACACCTGTGTCATGTTGTCTGAGGTCTTTAGTGGTGTGACCAAAAGGTCTAACAACGAGAGGCTTATCATTGGTGAATGTAAATTAGCATACTATTGTTTTATTTATGCAGTATTTTAAAAAGCTGTTAGCCCCAACTTTTTGATCAAATAAATTCATAGAACAGCCACACGTGTGGCCCCACTATAGCCTGCAGCACGATAAAGTAAGTATGGAACCCGTTATTCGCAACGACTCTTGAATCACTGTGACTTAAGCTAAGAATAAAAAATAGTGACATGCTATACTATGGTCAGATGGGCCTGCACAGTTCCTACGGGACACCTCTGATTGAGTGATCTGGATTTTTAGACATGCAATGGAAAATTCCCTCCTATTACTGGTAAGTAGATACTGACGCTTCTAGCTATTTGTCTTAAGTGGCATGCCTCCAATTATTTCTTGAGGATATATGATGTCCAATTGGATCGGTTTGCCTCCACATAAGAAAAATCACTTCCGACTCGTTGTGGATACTCAAATTTCTCTCAAATTTCTCTTTGTAGTCGGACCGATAGAGTCTGAAGTTGGTAGTGAGCGCAATGTACCTAATCTCAACCCAGATGTCTTCGTTCTCCATGGATAATCTGAGAGTAATGAAAATGGGGCCATACTAGGAAACCTGGAACAAATTAAGGAAGTGGTTGTTGGTGAAATAGGTAAACCCTTATACAAATCATAAAGCGTTTAAAATAAAGTTTAATGTAAAGAATCAAATAGGGTCACATCAAAGCGAACGCTCTCTTGCACACCTATGAATAGTTTGTTCGAGAACCATCATTTTTTCCAATAATGTCCCTACAAAACTTCAGGATCATGTATATCGAGAACCATCATTTTTTCCGAATGCATGCAAAGCATGCAAAAAGGTTGTCACGTTGACACTGTAAGGCGAGAACTTAATGAGTGAAATGCGGTCATGTAGTAGTGTATCTGTCACCAGCGAATGCCCCTTCATTAATTCAAACACCCGTACTCCTAGGTTACGAAACTAGATTGCGTGACAAAACGTCAAGACTTTGCATGCAAGACTCTTCTAACTGGATGGAATTAAATGGACTGTCGTCAATAGCTGATAAAACAAACGTTTGCTAACTTGTTTTTAAACAAAGGACATGAAAAGTGGTTACCATGCCAATGGTACTGTCCTTTCAACTGAGGTTTAAAGGACATTTTCAGCCTCAGGCACGAGGCTCACATGGAAAAAACTGGTGGACAAAATTGTGACTTCCGCTTTTTCATCTGCATTTCCGATCGATCAGGAACTCACTTTTCATTTATCGGCGTTTTTCCATCGGTGTGATTGCGATATCAGCTTACTTCATGAGGTTCCAGTCTGGTGAAATAAGCAGTATGTTTTAACCATTATCATGCCTTCATAAAGCAAGCCAGAAGCCAGCAACATACTATCTGATTTTCTCAAAACTCTGCGCTTTCTTTTTCCTGTCCTGCCATTTACTCCAGACAGTTAAGGACAATAATCCGTGTATTGTTTTCGGGATATGCGTAGCAGCATCCTAGCATACTTGTCATTCCGTCTCGGCTATTTCCGTAGCTGAGTAGACTTTGAATCGAAGTACAAGAGCTCAAACTTGAGCGGGACACGGTTAAATGTCGGGAAGGGTCTATTGTGTGCGCCGCGTGGAGTGGTAGGATGTCTGACATGCTGGTGAAAGTAAGTCTTTTGTATTGAGTACTCAGTCGCACGTAGAGTCAACTACAAATCTCTGTATAGAAATAATGACCCGTCAGACTCCTAAATATTCAAACAACGCATGAGATTGTTATGGGTGAAAAACGATTTAAGTGAGTCAAGAGTTTGGCATAAGATATGGGTAAAAAACTAGTGTCGACTGGTTAATTTAACCCACTGCCATTAGTAGGTAGGAAGCTAAGGTAATTGTGAAATAAGGTGCAATACTTCACCCCTCTTGAGTTATCAGAAGCCCATTTCTGTACCGTTTCGTGGTATTGAACTGGTTGACCTTCATATCTTTTTAATGTACCGCTCATAAGGTTGCTGAAAAGCCGTCGACAGCCCACGACCGGTTTCGCCCTTTTTGGGGCTCATCAGGTAGGCGCAGTCCCCGGATTTTCGTCAACCCTACGTTTTACTAGAAACTAAATTGCACGAAATTAGCGAATACACACTCATTTGCAAACTAATTTTTTTTTTCGGGAGACTCATCCGGAACCCAGCTGAATCTCTCGTTGGTGATGTTCTAAAGCAACTGAATGTGCTGCACCAAATCAGTTTGCAAATGAGTGGTCAACCCTTAGTTCTGATTTCCTTCAGATTGATAATTCATGGAGTATACTGACATTTTCAGTCTATGAAGTTAGGAAAAGTCTGTGATTCAAAAATGAAGTTAATGACGCCTCGAAAACGCAAACAGGTGGCGCAATAAGTAAGGTTTTAATGTACAATGACCAAAAACGGTATTGACACCTCGTTCGACGTGTCAGTAACACCAAGTGCACGTTATCCTCTTTTTTATAGCATATTCGACTGATTATTTGTGTTATTATTTTTCAAAACATTATTTTTGATTTTCTGTGAAACAGGTCACCTGGTTGTTACAATTCAATCACTTCCTATTGATGGGGAACGCTGTTTTGAGGAAATCGTGTGTGGTTTTTTAGTTGTGTTGTGCTCTGGTGGGCGAACAAATTATGGATCACCTTCACTATTCGAAACATGCTTGAAGAGAAATGCTATTCAGGCGTGGATGGAAAGATAAACTGATATAGGTGTGTGTGCAAACTAGCAAAATTTTTCCAACAACCAGAACGACTTTCTGCCATTCTGTAGATTGCGATCTGCCTTAGCTAGTTTCACATTTCTAAATACAAATCACTGCATTCCAAATAAACTGGTTCGAATTCGACAGCTTACTGCTTTTTTAATTGCATGAGACTAAAAATGAATAATTTTTGTAATTCTGAACATGAAGTACGTAAATTTCTTAAAAATTTAACAGTCCTACCGTTGGAATCCAGCCAACATAAAAAGCAAACCTTTCTACCATAAATTCTAAAGAGGGACAGAAGCACATGGTCCCTATCCCGTACACACTGCTTGGCATTTTGAAACCGTACGGAATGTGGAACACATATGTTTAGTAGGTAGACGTTATGGATGCACGTTTTTGGAGAGGCACTTCAACACAAGAGCACCGGAGCAAACATGCATTTTGTCATGACTGACAGTCACAGCAGGGAGTACAAAGTGATTTTTCTTCTCTCTTGTGATCAAAACTTGCATTCGGAGGACCATATAAGCACGCAACCGGTGTGAGACTATAATATGAGCTTGAAAAATGGTACGTTTATAGACAGTGATCTTACTTGGGGATGCTTGTGTAAGACATTCTGCATCTGTATGGAGTTTGTGGTTAAAGATAAATTCGCCACTTCTGGTTGGTAAGTTTTCAAAATTAAACCAAGAATTTCCGATGTTTTCTTTGGACCGACCCGAAAATTTCCGAATACGGAAATATGGACAAAAATTGTAGGAGAAAAGCGCCAATTTGAGGGCCGTTGGTTACCTCTGATTATTCTTCAAAATTTAGCAAGTGCTACCGGGAAAATAGAGCTTTTTATAGCAGTAAAACATGCCTTGGGAACGAGAACCTGTCTGTTGAGAGAGAATAACGTAAACAAATATTTTCTCAACTCATTGTAGAATTACTGAAAACGGCACAGCTTTGGTGTGCCTTATCAATAATAATAAAGGATAAACTTTGAGTAGTTGAAAAGAAATGATCCAGAGTTGAGAGGGCTTTTTGAATGTTTGTATCTATTTACCGGCTAGATAAAAAAGGAAAAGATGAACTTCTTTAGGGAAAATACTCTAATTTATAGCAAGGGGCTAGCCGGTTATTACATACCCAGTTCAAACTTGAGTACTGCCAAATATTCAAGCTAATAGGAATTTCGTCTAAACAATTACCCATCCAAGATGGATTTTCTGGGTTGATCTCGTCAACAAACCGTATAGATTTCTGTTTATTCGGTTGCAGGGTTTTTCTTTTTGTGAAAACAGTAAGCGTAAACAGCACATGGGCGAGTAAATTTGTGTGGGAGCTTTTTCTCGTGTGAATGGTTAAAGGAATTCCCTAGCGAAAGCGGTTAATTTTTATCGAATACTGTGGGACATTTTTGTCCTCATCTGTGGTCATGATCTATCTAGGACAGGCACTTTCCTACCTAGCTTTTCCATGGTTATGATGTCTGCTTGCAGTGATCTCGTTCTTGTTGTTGCCGCAAGGAATAGTCTGTGCGTTAGATATAAAATTAACTTAGACGATATAGCCATCCATCGGTCGGCAAGGTTCTGTACAGTTTCACCAGTACCTGTCGTGATGTTGACTGTATTTTCCCTATGAATGTTAATAAGTTGCTGATATATTTGCGCTGGTGCTTCGACCGAAGCATGGTTTGACATAATTTGCGTGCACGAGAATAGCCAAAAGCACTGACGTTCTCCAGTAACAACGCACTGATTGCGACGCAGTAACTGCAAAATCTCTCCAGCTAGCTAGGTTCCTTGGTCACCGCCAACATTCTGAAGTGACGGCCATCAAAAGTGAAAGGACAGAATCAAATCTAAAGGGTGAAACAAAGTTTGTGAAACTCTTCTATGTTCCGAATCTGTGAAGAAGCCATCCAGTTGGAGAAGTCGTGTGGAAAACTTTAATGCGCGATTTAAATCAGAGCTGGAACGCGAGCGGATAGTTGAAAAAATGCCGTACAAAGTAAATAACGGTTTTAGAAACCAACCAGTCATAAGTTATAACCTTATCAACCATAATGGCCTGAACGAAATCCCAAAGATTCCCTTGATAGCAAGTGTTAGTAAGTGAACCTCATGGAGCAAATATAGCCAGATTTGCATGCCTGACGTTATCTCCTCTTTTGCTTTCGGTAAAGCAGGCTATTCCTTGTGTTCCTCACCGAGTAAAATAAAATGACGAACACATACTGTTCATTCTTACGTAGTAGTGTGAGTTGTCGGTTTTCCCCGTTTAAATTTTAAAATTTGGTCTCATGGGCACGGTAACTGGATCAGACATTTGCATAATACGCATTCATTAGTAGCTGTGAACTGCATTCAGCAAAGGGTTGCTGCACGACGAAGCCAACACTCAAATATCCACTTCAATGTTTGCGATAGTGGAAACGAGTCTGCTGACTTCTGATTTAAGTTGTCTGCTGCCGGCAGAGGACAACTCTCTCGGGAATCGCAAATGTTAGTTAGCCCCCAGGCTAACGGAATCCATTATCTCCGTCTGTTTCGACAGCTGTCTGGCTGTCGCCGAACAGAAGGCGCGCATCAGGAACCAGACATCTGAAACGGAAACAACCATCAGACCTATCTCAGAAAATTTCAAACTGGACGCTAATCACGAAGATACGGTTGGGAGTGGATCGGGCTTCGACGAACACTAATGAACTATGAAGTAGTTTCATGCATGCAGATCAACAAGGGAGGAAAACTGTTCGAAACGTGCAAAGACGTTGATCGTTGTACTCAGGTAAGGTGAAATTAAATGAGCTTACCAAGAGTAAATAGAGAAAAACAAACGAAATGTAAGATTTGGTTTGCGCAAAAGTGTTTTCGATGAGTATTCTGACAAAACCGGCAAAATTGATGAAGGTGACAATGCAAAAGCAATGAAAGCACAAGTGAAGTGGAGTTTCGGTGGTGATGATGTATAGTTAACCTCGGGGGAGCGGGTCAGTTGACCGTTTTTAAATGGTACACGGACTAATCAAGAGACAACAGTAACTTTACTGTTCGTTTCTCTGCCCGCATAGATCTCATCTGAGTTAACATCATAGATTGTTTCTGGAGGCACGGAAGTAGGCAAACATTTCACTCAAATTGGGACCACTCCACACATTTTGAATAAAATAACAACGCTTGAAATTGCCAGCGTCTAAGCCATGACTGCATATGTTTTCAAGAACCAAATCGAACAAACAGGTCGGCTCCAGGCAAATCCACTCTTTTGAGCGTTGTGAGTAACAGAACTTTGCTAGCCAAGCTCACTGTTCTTATTTCTAGAAGTATTTGTCCTAGAGGTTAACCACTTTCAGAAGTGTATATGTTAGCTTAACGGGGGAGGTATCGGTGTAATTAAAAATACGACGTGATTTAACTGTCAAAAGAGTGGAACAAAGCGGTGTGGGAAGAGTGCACAGGGTTGAAAATTTTCCGCACTGTTATCTTCGGGACGCGTTTTTTCATGCAGGTGGTTCACTTTTGGCAAGTTGTCCTATAGTTTATAACCTTGATATACGTGTCCACTGAATTGCTATCAACCGTTGTCTTATTAGGTGGACAGAATGTCACGGTTCGGTTCAATAACCGTTTTGATGTTGATCAAATGGATTTAAAGGCATGAAATATCTGACCGGTGTTATATCGCAACCATGTAATCTTCAGAAGAGGAGCAACGGACGTTTTGCTCTACAGGCAAGCGGAAGAGAAATACCGCAAACGGGCTGGTGGTTCCATTCGTAGCTCTGCATTGTTTAGATTTATTATCCGGAAAACAGCAAAAAAGAGATTTGTAATGTTTCCCACCTCCAAAGATATGAAAAATGTGACCAAATGTCGGTGTCCGTCGAATTCCAGAATCCGCTCATTCACATCGTGTCGATGAAAACGCACTACGCATTTGTTTAGACAATTATCGGGGTTTTCTGACTTACTGCCATGCTCCTTTACGTTTTCTGATACAGGACACCACAGGGTTTATGTTGGAGCACTCTAAAATTTTTCCGATGAGTCTTCTGACAATTAAACTGAACAATACGAGATGTGGTGAATGGCATAGTTTGAAATTGCTCACCTTAGCCAAATAATCCGAATTAAAGGAACGACTTAAT